TCCCATCCTCATCCCGTCCTCCTGCCATCCCCATCCCATCCTCATCCCGTCCTCCTGCCATCCCCATCCCATCCTCATCCCGTCCTCCTGCCATCCCCATCCCATCCGCCCGTCCTCCTTCTGTGTTTCAGCTCTCTGGTAGCCTCCCCACTCGTTTTGTTGCCATCCTCGTCCTTAGCCATCGACCACACACTGCTTCCTTGTGCTGAGGGGTTCTTTGGAGAGTTTGTGACTCGGTCACTCTCCCAGCACCCTTCCTGTCCTCTCCCTGCACCCAGGCAGGGGGGTTTGTGCCTTTGACCCCCTGTCTGGAGGCTACTGCCAGACGTGCTGGGCAACTCCTCCTCTTCGGCTCTGCGTGGGCTCCCAGCCCGAGGGTGCCCGTGTGAGCAGGCAGCGATTCGCAGGGTTAAACCGTGGGAGTCCAGGGCCTGGGTTCTGCCTGGCAGCTCACACAAATGCAGAGACTCTCTCAGGGTGGCAGGAGCTGCAGCAGACCCTTGGCCCAGGCACACTGTGCTGCAGCTGAAAGGCAGTGCTGACTGACTGATTGACTGATGGACTGAAGGACTTTAAGATTGTAAACTGACTGATTTAAGGGCTCATACGGCTGCAGAAACTGCTGCCTTGTTTTTAAGCCCTCATAGGGGTTATTTCCCCACTGTTAAAACGTGCTTTGGATCTCCAGCCTTTCGTACCAGGCAGCGTGTGGGTATCAGATCCCTTTGTGCCATTATGAAAGTAAGAGGATGTCCGTAACGGGAACATTCTCCCTTTACCTACCAGTCCCTCTTTACTGCCTATTTCAGTGCCTGGGAGAGCAGGGCAGGAGCATCCTGGCTCCCTCCCGTCCCTCTTCCAGACTGAACAAAGCCCTGGGTGGCGCTCTTTGGGAAACAGTGACCAGGTGGGAGTTGTGGAGGTTCTGCCTCCGACCCCTACTGACAGCAAAACTGTTCCCAAATCCACCTACATTACTACGTTCATTGCCTAGCAGTAGTCACTACGGGGTGTTTTGGGGATACCAAACCTCAAAATGATGTAAAAAGTAATAATTTTGGGGCTAACCCTATCTAAAAATTCTAAGCAGTTTCTGGTAACATTTCTATGACATATATATATATATAAAACATCCAGAAAACCATATACATGAAAACAGGAAATCAGCTGTCGCCTAATCCGTTTCCCCCGCGGTTAACACCCTGTCAGTATTCTACAACACACACTCTAGTACTTTACTCAGCCGGATTTTAAGGGGGACGGCTGATGGGGGAGGAGGAGGAAGGAGAAGGAGGCAGGAGGAGGAGGAGGCTGGAGGCAGGAGGAGGAAGGAGGAGGAGGTTAGAGGCAGGAGGCAGGGGCACCGCCTGACCGTGACCTCCCGCCTGTGCCAGCCCATGCCCCATTTCTGAGAGTGTTTTCACCCTCCGAATGTGGCTGCTCTTCAGAGCCTCCTCGGGACATCTCTGCCGGGACCGCTCGTTCTTGGCTTGTCCGATGGCCCCGTTGCTCTGGGGAGGTTTGTCTGGGCTGACAGCACAAATCCGGGCGGGTCCCGAATGACCCCAGTCCCTCCTGCACGCGTCAGGCGCTGTCACCACCAAAATATATTGAAACCCCGCGCAAAGCTGTCCCGGCCCACCTGAGCGGACGTTCCCAGAGCGGGGCTAATACTTTGGGCAACCTGATACTAATCTTTGAAAAATATTTTAGGAGGCAACGTTTGGTGCAATATAAATGAAAAAGCATTATCTGCCTACGCTGCTCGCGCGCTTCCCACAACGAATATCCGCTTTATCTAATGCATTTACCCTTGACGCGACCCTGGGAGGGAGGCAGGAGCCACCGTCCCCACTCGAGAGGCAGGAGGAGTGTGGGAGGGGAGCAGCCACGTCCTCACCACGTCCTAACCCCTCGCCGGGGTCCCCCCGCGGTGCCCTGCCCACGTCACCGGCACCGTCGTGCGCCCCACTCGCCGCGCGGGGACTGCCGGGACCCCACGCCCCTGCGGGGTGACACCGGCGTCACCATTTCCCAACACTTCCCACAAACCAAACAAGCTGGGGCCCTCCTGCTCCCAAGATAAATATTGCAAACTGGGTCCAGTTTTAATCTTTAACCACAGCCCCGGCCAGCCAAGTGTGCCATCAGCCACGCCGGGACGGCCCCGCTGCCCCTCTCGTGCCGGGGGGCACCATGCCGGGAATGTCCGTGCACGGAGTAGAAGTCCCCAAGCAGCCCCACAAGTACCGCTCAGGCGGGGATTTATCGCCCCATAATCCAATTTCTAGTGGAGTGATGGGAGAGGAGCAAATCTTTTCCTTCATCTTCCCACTGCTAAACCTGAGGGAGCTCCCCAGAGCCTCTGCCCCTCGGTGCCGGGCCGGGGGGTGCTGGCGGTGGAGGCAAGCAGCCTGGCTGGGGTCTTGCTTCCCCCAGGTAGCCCTGAGCTGTTTTCCCTGTTGATCAGTTTGCACTGATAAAGCTGGGTCCAGCTTTCTCAGACCTGCTTTACCCTCTAAACCGCTCCCAGTAAAACTCTGGAGAAAAAAATCCCATATTATCCAGCTGGTTTTTTACTTCTTTACTGGTAACGTGTCTGGGAGGAGAACAATCACAAGGAAGACTGGTTCTACTTCTCATGAGCAAAACTGAGGTTTAAGCCCCCCCTGGACTCACATCCAGCCGCGCTGCTGTCACTGGGAGCACGGCACAGGGGGCTGGAGCCGGGCCCTCTGCCCTCCGCAGGGAAATTGCGACACCAATTTCCAAATACCAAAAGAAAACACGTGCAATATTTGCCTAAAAGCAGGTGAAGATGACGTGGGCCATCCCTGGCCAGCCGGTGCTCGCTGTTGGGAGGGAAAGCCCACCCGTGCCCCTGCCACATCCCGCACTGGCGTTGAGGGGGGTGTGTCGGGCTGTGAGCACGGGGGATGAACCGCTGGACTCCCCCTTTTACGGGTGGTTTGAATCAGCCGGATGGTTTTGCAGCACCGAAGGGCCTGGCCCGTCTCTTCCCCGCGCTCAGAGATGGGTGTGGGTGCTGGAGGAGACGGCAGAACCCAACCCCTGGGGAACACAAGAGGAGTTAAAATCCACACACCCAGGGGAGCCCCAGCCGAAAAAGAAGGAGGAGGCTGAGGAAGAAAGCGTGGGGGGAGTGCAGCCAGGGCGCAGGTCTGTGCCACACCATCGGCACGGGGAGGGGGGCTGGGGGAGCCCTGTGGTGAGGCCAAAGCAGACGGTGCCCATGGGGCAGAAGGGCAGAGCTGCCCCGGCACCGTCCCGGTGGGGCTGACGGCAGCCCCGGGCTTCACAGCCCCCCCGGGGTCGGCACACAGGCAGTGCTGGTCACGGCCGCGCCAGGCGCTGGTATTTATCCCGTTGGGGGTTGATTCCCGGGAAGATTTGGACATGGGTTTGGCAAGAGGCCAGAATTAGGCGCTACCCTGTGTAAGCTCACATCACCATGGGACGCAAGGATCGGGTGCAGGTTTAAAAAGAAAAGGTCAAAGTCAGGCCTTTTTCTCCTGAATTCTGAAAATATCATTTTGTTGGGGAAAAAAAAAGAAAAATAAAAAGAATCGATTTCTCATCTTTCCTCTGTTAAAGAGAGCGTAATTGATGGGAATGGCGGGTGCAGCCCAGCCCTCCGAA